CTCTGAGGATCTTTTAACTTCTCTGACAAGGATATCAACCCTTGAGCATTTTAATAAGCTTCTGAGCTAGCTTCAAGGTATTTTGTAGCTCTTGATTGGTAATCATACCTCTTGATCTCCTGCATACATGTCAACGAAATGCAAATGATAATGCTAATGTGCATGAAATGAAACATAAGCTAGGTAAAGAAAAGTTGGGCAAATTTTGGGGTGCAACAACTTGGTACTATTCTCAACGTCCTCTCCAACAGAACTATTTCTTATTTGTGATAGACACAAGGATTCAGGCAAAAGGCATTTCTCTGAACATTCTACTTTTGAGAAAGGAAAAGTCATGTGAAGACAAAAAGGCTACAGCTACTCTACTTGCACACTCTTCAAGCATTGAACTCTCAGCATTATAAAAGGACGTTATCTTCATTTCTTTAAAAGCTAACGAACTGATAACATATATTGAGAAAATTATTCAACAACTCTCATACACTCATTCTTATTAAAAGATTAATAGTTTATTTTGTTCTTAATACTTGTGTAAAAATCACATTTGTGATTAAAGCTTGTTAGAAGCAAACTCAAACACACTTGTTAGTTTACATTTATTTGTAAAGATTCCTTAAGAAGACCAAGTTGTGGTCAGTAGTTCTTGAGAAGACTAAGACAGTTGTTCTTAGTGGTTGACATTGTAATCTGTTTGATTATAGTGGATTAAGTCCTTGAGGAGAAAGGCAAATCACTCTTGATAGGGTGGACTGGATTAGTTGAGTTCAACGAACCAGGATAAAAATCATTGTGTTTTTTTTATTGCCATATTTATTTCTAAACCCTTATTCAACCCCCCCTTCTAAGTGTTTTCTCACCTTCACTAGACTCCTTTAAGGTCTTTCAACTTAGACAAACCTTATAATACAATTCAATTTTATTCTCCCCACAAGAGAATTAGACGTGATTCATCTTAATAGTCAAGATATAATACTCCTACCCCATAATGCAATCGAAAGATGTAGAATCTTTTCCGCTTGAGAGAGGTATGTGGCATACTCGACAATAAATCTGAGTTTTCAGCCCTTCTCTTAATATGACGCAAAGACCATCTCCTACAAGTTGTGGCGGTTAATTCGAGTATTCTCCTTAAGATGATGACTCGTCTCTTCTCCTAGAATCAATCAACAAATTTTCTCCCCCTGGAACCTTGACCACGGTCAAGTAGTTCCTCAATCCCTTTTAGGGGAACTACGAATACTCTGATTCCATTCCCGTCAGGATACGTAGGCACAAGATGCGATTTCTTGCCGAGTATACTTAGAAATAAACCCTTAGGTCTTTTACCCTTAGAAAACAACAATAGCACAATAAAACAAGAGGTTCCTGTAGAGTACTACAGATGCTTAGGATGCTAGTACCTTCCCTAAGCTTAACCAACCCCCAAACTTTAGATTCTCTAGCTTTGCATTTGCATTGCATATCTTGTGGGTAATTCGATCTTTTTCCCTTCCCTTGGACAAATTAAATACCGATGGTGAACAATGAACTAAGATTCAAGTTAATCCAATAGCTTGATATCCAATTCTCACCGCGACAACTCTGACTGTAACCAATCGCACAACAATAACAACAATAACATAACAATGATTACAACCCTATTCTGACTGTAATCCATTATGCATTGGATGCATCACCAAGAATTCTCAATTCGAACCATTCTTCTCGTCAATCACATGTGAACATGTATAATAACTCAGAAAATTATTTATACAGTTCATAGCATATATTCACACGTTGAACATACATTCACACATTAATCATCTCACAAGGCACTACCATGAGATAGCTCTGTGCGCTAGCTCTCTAACACTTCAAACGACACTTTATTTGTACCTACGAAAGTAAAGTTATGGCATAAATCGTCGAATAATAAAACATGGTTCAGTTCAGATATTTTTCAAAAATAAGCCAGCATCAATCGATTGGCATGGGATGTCAATCAATTAATATCAAAGTCATTTACTCACTGCCTTTTTATTTTTTTGCTTATTGGTTGCATGCAATCGATTAATTCACAACATTAATCGATTGACATAGTTAAAATTTCCAGATTTTTGTAAAATAACACGCGTGCAATCGATTGACACAAGCACAAAATGCAAAAATCTCAGTTTTCTCATACGTACTTCATTCTCTTCATCTCCTATCTCTCATACCTCATTCTAACCCTTATTATATTAGTTCAAATACACATTATATCATAATCAAACACATCAATTGCTCACCGATTAACACTAATCTATCGTTTTCATCATGAATTACTCAATTTGGTTCATACCCTAAAACACTCAATTTCAAATCAAATTCATCATTGAATCAATTAGTTCATGAACACTAAAACACCATGACAACAAAACACAATTTCTCATCAATTCATGACATAAACAAAATTTCATCATCATTTAACAGATTATCATCAAGCAATTGAGAAAAGAGAAATTGCATTGGAGGTTAAGGGAAACCTATATACCTTTTAATGATTTAGGCATCATTAGATAAATAATCTCCCTCTCCCCTTTACCATGTAATTGTAGGAAAATCAAGCTCTCAAGCAATCTCTAAGGTCCTCTCCTCTAGGTCTTATCTCTCCTCTTCTTCTTTTTTTCACAATCTGATAAAATGCTCTCAAAAAACTCGTTATTTCTTCTCATTTTCTAAATATATAAAATAATCTAACTAACTAATTTTAATTCAAATTTTGACCCAACTAAAACATGAGCTTCTCTCCACTAACCACTTAATTCTCTATTATTTCACTTTTTACCCCAACCTTTAATACTCTCTCAAATTCTATTAATTTAAATAATTAATTTCCATCCAAAATTAATTAAATCATCACAATTTACCACAAATGTCGTCATCGGCCAAAAACGTCACAAATTACATAAATAATTATTTAAATTAATTAATCTATTATATTAAATAAATAATTAAATAAAAGGTTAATTAAGTCGGGGTGTTACAAGTAACACGGGACAAGAGAAACGTTGAAAGTGACGAGAAATAAAAAGGTGGTTGGATCTGACAAATCTATTGAAGTATGTAAAGTTCTTGAAAATAGAAGCAATGAATGACTCACCAAACTCTTTAATAAAACTATGTAGTAAAAAAATGTCGGATGGAGGAACAAGAAGCACTTTAGTTCTCATCTATAAGAACAAAGGGGATATAACTTTTTTCTTTTGCAAATTTTGTATATTAAACTTTTGAGGTACATCATGAAGTTATGAAAAAGAGTAATTGAATGGAGACTGAGAAAAGAGACTTTGATAATCAATTTGATTTATGCCTTGAAGTTCGACCATGAAATTGATATATTTATTATATGTGATAGATCATTATCAAATGGATTAACAAGACTTAGCACTTTATTTTTGTTGACATGAAGAAGGCGTGTGATACAGTTTCTAAAGAGATTTTGTGAAAATTCTTAGAAAAGAAAGGGGTTAGGATTGCCTATACTCAAGCTATTCAAAATATGTATGAGGAGTATCAACTAGTGTGCGGACGCAAAATGGAGTGACTTACGATTTTCCTATAACAATAGGATTGCACCAAAGTTCAACCCTAAGTCTATATAGAATGTAAGTTTAGCAACAAAAATTAGTATTTTTAACTTGGAGGTGAAAGTTGGAGACTGTATCATACCACAAGTCACTTGCTTTAAATTTTTTTGGTCCATAATATAAAATAATGGAGAAATAAAAGGAAGTGTAAATCAACAAATTCAAGCTATGTGGTTGAAATGGATGAAGGTCTCAAAGATTTTATGTAATACAAAAGTACTACCCAAGCAGAGGGAAAATGTATCAAAATAACGGTAAGACATGTGATGAAAAAGTGTAATAGAGATGAAAAAGTTATATTAAATATGTGATAATATTAAATGAGAAAAGAATTCAAATGAAAATAGTAAAGAATGTTGGAGTAACGTAAAAAAAGATGGTGAAAATAAATTTAAATGGTTTGAAATGTAGAAAGAAAATCTATACATTATACTATAATAAGATTATATCAAATTGTTTGGATTAAAATAATTAGAGGAAGACTGAAAAAACTATGAAAAATATTAACAAATCAGTCCTTGATAAAATAGGAAAAGACTATATTGTGATTATTAACATCACTTCATGGAATGCTGGAATGCTAGTTCACCATAGTAAAAAAATAACAAATATTAATAAATTTTGAAAATGTATTAAATTATTCCTAATATACATCTTCATATTGATTTTTTTCATAAAAAGAATATCTCACTTATAATACCTTTCATTCAGAAAATAAGAAAAAAAAATCCATAAATTTTAAAGATGTATCTCCAATCACACTTTTGTGTGAATTAATACCTTTCATTCAGAAAATAAGAAAAAAAAATCTATAAATTTTAAAAATGTATCTTCGATTGCATTTTTTTGTGTGAATTAGATTATTCCAAATATACACCCTCATATTAATTTTTGACATAAACAAAATATCTCACTTATAATACCTTTCGATCAAAGATGCATCTCTGAAATGTCAAGAAAAAAAATTTTGCAGTATGTTCACCCTGATCCAATGAAGTGGATAAAGTAAATTCTCTTGATTGTTGTGGTAGTATATTATTGCCGTTGTCATTCACATTTTTTTATTAAAAACATAGCGAGGTTGATATAATTTAAACAAGTTTCAAACTTAGACGAATTTCTTAATTGCAGTTTATAATTCTCCACATAAGAGGAAATCATTACAAGTTTATAGATGTTTAAAAGTATAAGGAAAAATCAAATGTAAACACTAATTAATCTCAAGTAACACAAGAAACTATTGTTTAAACAACAAAAAGAAAAGCTCATAATCATTACAATACTCTTTTAATTTTAATTTATTTATAAATACTAGTTGAGAAATCTATTCAAACTGATTCAATGTTTGAGATAACTTCACTCAAGGAATAAAATTGATAGATCCATCCATCATTATCTTGGAGCTTTTTTTCTCCATTCTGTTCTTCCTCGGTTAATTTCAAGTCCGTCGGTAGACAACCTAAGAAGATGAAGAAACTGTTGGTGTTCTTGTTTGTCATCATTTGCTTTGGCAGATCCATTTGTACCTTTGAGTTCCGGAACATCCTCAGATGTTTCTTCACTTGTTAGCGAATCAACAATGTCGTTCCGTTGGCATTCTCGTCTGTAGTCCAAGGTAATACTCTGCAACTCGTGAGTGTCGATGATTTCTTGAGGCACACTCTGTCAAAGTTGACACACTTTGTTAGCTATAATCACATGTATCATACCAGGTCTCTATTATAAGAAAAAGTTTCCTTTTTAGATTCATGAAATAATCAAATTTCTAATATATTAAAGAGAGAATCTAACAACCTCAAGCACCCATCCAATATAGGTCACGTTGTTAACGTGCTGATTCATGTCGAGATCGGCTCTTCTAGGCTGCAATATTGAAAAACAATGTGAGTAGGCCAGACTCTAAAATGTGCTGAATAGAAAAAGAAAGAAGATTCTTAGAGCCAAATGATCGTACCACAAGACCGAGACTGGAACTCTGAGCAGGATCTACCAATTTCGGAATTTTCTTTAAGCAATTACTATCTGCTTCAGGAATTGCCAACCTAAAATCACAGAAAAGAATGAAGAAAAGAGGGACAAAAGTTGGACTATTTTCTTTGAAGCCTAACTTCCCAACAATACTATAATTCATTGTCAAAAACCGAAAAACAGTAAAGAAATGTACTCGCCTTAGCTCTCTAGGACAAAAAACCAAATACTCATCTCGAAGTTCTTCAGACATTTTTTGGAGTCGCCTTGTGTCCTGATTCATCATTAGCCACTTGCTGAAACAATTAAATGTAAACAGTCATCTCCATGAAAGTGTCTAAAACAAAAGACTGTGTCAGAAAGCACAACATACAACACAATTTACGCATATCAAAATATAAAAACGATGTGAATGAGTTAATTGTTAATGCATCTTGATTTGTATCGAAGGATAGTTTTCAGTCAGCTTTAGATCCAAGGACACAAGAGGAGCTTTGTCCCAACAATTGGAGTTTCTGTCATATAGTTAGAGGTTGTGAGTTAAAGTCTGGGAATAAGTGTCTCGTAAATACAAGGTAAGACTGTTTATATAAGTAGATTAAATCCTTCCACGGACCCCACATTGGCGAGAACGGGCTGTCCATATTTAGATCTTCAAACAGCAATATTCTGAGCTTCAAGTGTTAATACAATTCACAGCATCCTATCTTTTTGCTGCTAAAGAGCTTAGGTTACAGACTTAATGCTGAGGGAGTAATGGTCGGTAACAGAAGAAATTCTGAGCTGAGCTAAGAAAATAATTTTGTCAAGAACAAAAGTGATTATTAAGTGACGGAAGCCTTGGCACAATGTTTGGAGTCGTTGCATTGTGATTAGAAGGTCGCAGTATCGAGGCATGGTGTCTGCCTCTCAATCGAAGAGTAAGACTAAGACTGCAATTAATACATTTCAAATAGGTCTGGCCTTTCTGCATGGAGAGCTTTAAAGCACCATGATGACGTTTTTGAAAAGTTAAATCATGAAAAGGGTCCTCTATAAAGTTTCTTGGAAAGCAAAAAGTGATCAGATATCATCCAACACAACACAATGAAGGGATATTCTACCAATTGTTAACAACAGAGTAGTCAATAGTGGCGCTATCCCGCTGTAGCGGAGGGGAGGCCGATCGCTATGGGAAGGGCCTTAGCAGTGCAGAACACTATAGCAGCCGCTATAGGGTAAATAGCGGGTAACGGGGTCTGAGCGGTTCCCGGCCCAGAGTAGTTTATGTCCCGCTATCCTTTTCCCCTTTGAAAAACCAAAATTACCCCTTAAATTTAAAACATTTTAAGGGTAATTTTGGGTTTTTCAATAAAATTTGAGTTGAAACTCAACCTTAACCTTCCTTCACCGACGTCCGTGCATTTCAGCCATTCCAAAGAAAAATCACAAGTTCCTCCCTCACCTTTCTCTGCACTTCGCTCTACCCTCTACACTTCATATGTTTATAATTATTATTCATGTAATTTGCCCAAAAATGATCAAATAGTGGCCATCCTCTATCCCATTTTTGGGGTTGGCTGCTCCGCACCGCTATCCAGGATTGACTACTCTGGTTAACAATTGATATCAATAGTATTGCCATCATTGAACTCAAACGTGACATACCAGAAAAACTCAACACCCTTTACCAGTGAAGGATTAACTACTTTTTTCCAATAATTTAGTAATATTAATATACCAACCAACTACTATCATTTGGATACTTTAGTAAATGATCCAGAAGAAGTACTAATATTGATCATCTAATTATTACAATGACAACAAACTTGTACCATGACCATCCTTGAAAGTTAAATGTATACCTTGTTGCTCTTCCAATGACTTGACTGGTTGCATAGTCTTTAATAATAAAATCACGCCTTGTTCCAGCCCGCCCTTCCGCTTGACACCATGTCTCTATCTCAACAACATCGCTCCTGGAGGAATCATGCAAGTTAGATTTTTCAAATCAGAGTTTATAAATCGAGTATTGTAAAGAACAAAACTCACCAAGCAGGGTATTTGTAGACTTCAATGTGCATCCGAGCAGTCACCCATATGAGACGCAATTTTCTCATGGTAGGGGTTGTTGCAAAACCATCAGTTGAAAATCCAACACTCTGAGCATGATTACATCCAACCTCCTGCAACAAAAAAAGTTACCATACATCTCAAAATTGAAACTCTGTAGAATTCGGCACAGCCTGTTCCATTTTATTTTCTTTGGTTTCATCTTTAGTGAAACCAAAACGTAATGCGTTTTTTTCTATAATATGCACCAAACATAATAAGCACAATTTTCCAATATTTCAACATGTGTGCGAAGAAATAATCTCAATATTCCTACAGTGACTATGCATATGAATCAAATTCGTATACAAACCCAAAAATATCTCAAAAGTGCCAAATAACTTTTAGGGTATCTTTGAATTGGTGGAATGAGATGGAATAAAATAAAATGATATATAATCAGATTCTATTGTGTAAATTTGTAAAAAATGGATGGAGCGGAATGGAATATGATGGAATCCATTCTATCCTATTCCATTCGATCCTTCAATTTTCATTTTCATTCCCTTGGCTTATATGCAATGGAATGAACTAACTTATTCTATTCCATTCCGTCAAATTATAAACAATATTCAAACAACGAATGGAATATCTTATTCATTCCATTCTGCTCCACTCCATTCTATCATGTTCTATTATGCTCCTCCCGATCTATTCCGCTCCACTCCATTTCTATCATGTTCTGCTCCTCCCGCTTTGATCTAGTGCATCAATCCAAACATAGTCTTAACCTTGTACATAAAAACCCGGAAAAGCCCCATGCTAAACATGTTCAAATTTAGCACTTTCATGAAAAATAAATTAAAAAAATAAAAATTTCCAATTTGTAATCAAACACTGCCACAAGTTGAACATGGATCAGAATTCATAACCACCCACAAAGCCTAAAACCTACCCCAATCAAAATCAATCAAAAAGTCTTAAACTTTCACCTACCACTCACTATTAATTGGATCAAAAATTCAGATCAAGAAGCAAAATTAACAAATTCAGAATAAAAATTAAAAACCTGCAAGAGATTAGCAATGGTTTCAACAGTAGCAGTCTTATTGATTCCAACTTCATAGCTCCTAACAATAAACTTCTCTTTATAAGAGAACCCATCCTCAGTCAAGCTCCCAAGCCTCAACCGGTCCTCCAAACTCCCATTTTCCGGTTCAACCCGGTTCACCACCGCCCCTTCCTTAGCTGACGCCACCGCATAAACCGGACACGTCTTTGTTGACCGGAATCCCGTAACTGACGTCCGGGACGAAAAAAACGAAGTGGGCCGACCCATGAACCCGCATTGAGCCGTGAGCTGAACCCGGTCCACCCCATTACATGAAAGCTTCAACATTTTTTACTAATAAAAAAAGAAAAAAATCGAAATCCGGGTCTGTGTTAACTAGTGTTTGGGTTTGTGAAAAAGATTGAGAATTGAAAGAGGGTGGTGATGAATCTCTATGGGAATGAAGAAAAACTTCAAATTCGCATAGAAGCAAAGTCCAACGAGTGGGTTCGAATTTAACGAGGATGTTGTGTTGTGTGTGTTTGGTTGAATTGAAAGAGATAGGGATGGGAAAGGAACAGTGAAAGAAGGAAGGTGGCACGTGTTCAACAATTTGAGTTTTTTTTTAATTACGAATTTACCCTTTTCGTTGCAAAATTGAAACATATGTTTCTGATTTTAAGTTCTTTTCGTTATGCTCGAGGAAGATTTATTATTAGTAGTACATTTTTAATGCACCTACTACCGCTCTTATTGTCAAATCAACCAAGTGTTGTTGTCTCATGAGTGTTTTCCTAAATATTTTGAAAATAATTGACAATTTTAATTTTTAATATATTGAGTCTATTAAAAGAGGGCCTTTAGACCCAGGAAAATAAAACTAAGAATATCTAAGAGCATCTCCAATGGTGCAACCCATTTTTAGGTTCTTTGTGGGACCCACTCTTTTAAAGCAACTCATTCAATTTTCACTCCAATGGTGCAACTCTAAAGAATCCATATTGGGTCCCACCACTTTACTTAAAAAATATTATTTATATTAAATTTATTTTATTTAAAATTATAATTTAAATATTTAAATTTTAATTAAAATGATAATTAAAATAATAAATAAAATTTTATATCAAATTATAGTTTTTATATTATAAAATTAATATTTTAATATAAGAACCATTGAAGAACCGTTGCATATTTAAGAACTTTTTCATCTTGAAAACAACAAATATGAGTGCCATGTTGGCAAACCCATTCTAAGAACTCCCATTGGAGTTGGTCTAAGAAGCTTAAGAAATGAAGCCCCCGGGGATTTCATTAACTAACAAAATCTTTAGTTCATCTATTGGAAAAGATTTATGGATGTTTGCGGTGCATTTTGGACGACTTTGACGTTAAAAATTATTGTAAGAGAAAAAAAAATATGAGGTTTGATTTGGTTCAGTTGGTTTTTAAAAATAAAATCAAACCAAACCAAATTAAATCAATGCAGTTTGGATTGGTTTGATTAGTTCGATTTTTACAAAAATTTTATTGAGTCATACATACACCTATAGAAAACAATATAATTTTATTTTATTCATTTATTCATTATCAAATAACAACAAAACTCATCATATTTAGACAAAAAATTCTCATTCAATAAACAAAAATCAGTTTAAATAAAAGTGGAAAAAAATAAGAGCATAAAACAATATCAAAAACAATATAATAAAACAGAAAAATATAGGAGATGAAAGATTATAGAAGATGTAAAAGAAAGAAAAAAAAAGATATGGGATTAAAGAAGAAAAATGTGATAAAAATGTAATTAAAAAAGAAAATAATAACATAAAAATGAAAAAATGAAAAAGAAAGAATATAAGAGAGGAAAGATTAGAGTAGAAGAGGTGAGTCGTACATGGCAAAGAAGATGAGAAGAATGTGTACTAGGAGAGGTTTCAAAAGGTTGAAACTGAAACCTTAAGTGTGAGTAAAAGAAAATTGTTCGCAATTGTTAGGTTAAGGCATAATATGTTTGAATTTTGGGTTGGATGTGGGATAAGTGAAGTTTGGATTGTAACATAATGCAGTTTGGTTTAGTTTAGTTCGGTTTGTAAACTACAAACCGCAAACCAAACTGAATCGCGCGGTTTTGTTAAAAAATATCTCAAACACATCCAAATAAAATGCGGTTTCGATTTGGTTTGCAATTTTTTATTGGATTTGTTTGGTTTTGAACACCCCTAAAAAGATTTGAAAGAATGAAAAGTTTATAGTTATTCAAAATAAAGATATGATTGGTTAGTCAATCCGCACAATGATTTTCTTTACATAAAAAATGGTTATCATTATTTTGATATTATGTTAATTATTTTATCTTTGTGTGTATATAATTTGAATTATTGCATTTGTATTTTTTGTTTGTAATTTGCGTGTCACTTTGTGCTTCATTTGTTAGATATGTACCATAAGACATCTTTTCATATATTATATTAGTTTTGGATCCATATAAATGTATTTTAGGTTTTTTACAATTTGATCCAAATTAAAATATTGAATGTTACTTGAATCTCAAGTTAAAAGTCTTAAATCAAGATTTTTGAAAGTCTTGATTTAATCAGACATATTGTGATTCGAATCATGAACTTACTTAGAAGTGAAAATTTTGCCTCTGCCAATCTGATTCAAATCAAAGAAATTTTTTATTTGAGTCACAGTGTTTCCTAACTCGAATCATAAGATTAGTGATTTGAATCATATTCATCCAAATTTCTTTAAACCTAAGTTTGATTTGAATAACATATTGATTGACTTGAATCACACATCCAAACTTGATTCAAACCACTAGTAACAAACTTTTTCATTTCACTACCTTTGATTCACTTCATTCTTCCTTTGATTCAAATCACAATAACTCATGATTTGACTCAAATCACATTGTTATTTTCTCATTTTTTTATGTCTTACCACTAGCATCTATTTAAACCTTTTTAGTTGCTCTCTTAAAAAAAAGGATGAGACGAAAAATTGTGATGTCAAAGAAGTTATTGACAATGTAAGCCAATGACACTTGTTGATCACAAGTGGTGATCACAATTGAGAGAAACTCTTTGATAAGCCATTGAATTATTTTGTTTTGTATACCTAGAAAATTCATAAAAATCAAACTTCTCTTTATCAAGAATCTTGATAGAAACCATGAAAAGATTTCTTCATTCAGTAACCAATTATCTCTGAAATTCAACCTTGTAAAATACCTCCTAGAATATTAAGAGTTTGAGAATTTTACAATTGTGTTGTGTGAGACCTTTATATATTATTCATCATATTCAACCTTATATAAAGAAATCATTGTATGGGTCTCAAATTTAAAGATTGAGTGTGAGAGGTAGATTGAGATACATTAGGGAATATAATGTTTTATTGTGTGAAGTTTTGTTGTTTGTATCAGGATAAATGGTTGTTTCTTGTTCACGTTGTTGGTTGGTTCTTATCAAGCAAGATAAGAGTTTTGTTCATACTCCAAGGAAGACTTTGGTGGATACGAGTAAAGGTTTCTACATGATAAATTTGGGAGTTATCCTCATTTAGTGATAGAATAATCTTTCAAACAAGTCTTCGTCAAATTCGAGTAAAGGAAGCTAGAGAATTGGAGTCTGGAGTAGGTCATTAGTTCTATCAAGTTTGGTGGATCAAGATCATTGAAGATCTTAAATGTTTGTAGTTAACATGAGGAATTGTTGTTTTAAACCTGTGTTGGCTAAAGCATTAAGTTGTAAGTGTTCGGTTTGATAATAATTCGTTGTACAAAAACATATGTATCTTTAACTTTAATCATAGTGGAAGACATTATCATTTCCAATGGTGAAAATCATCAAATTGTGGACTAGGCATAGCGGGTACGGATTGTCGAACCACTATATATCTAATGTACATTTTTCTCTCCTGATCTGTTTAATTTTTTGCATTGCATCATGTATGTTAGGCATAATTTATCATCAAAATATCATCTAGAGTTAGATCTCGCTTATAGTGGTTTATCATATAAATGTAGGTCTACGTAGAATTTAATTTGGTGAATATTCATCTTTTGAATTAGGATTGTATTAACTCTAAGTCACTAGATTTAAATTGTTTATTAAAATAAATTTAAGTTTACTTGAGTTAATAATATTGTTTGAATTCTTGTTTCTATGATAATAAGGAAAGTTATACTATTGAATCCATTCAGCATGTTTTGCTTTCGCTTATTATCTTTTACTTTCACGCTTTAACTCTTATTTTGTAAAAAGAAATTGTTTTTGAATTCAATGTTGTTTTAAGGGGAGTGGTATATTCTACCCCCCCTAGACCTTCTCGTATCTATATTATCACCGAACATTTGGCTTCAGAGCTGGTGTTTTGACTAATTCTAAGCAACTTCAAAAGTTGAGAATGTAGATTTTGATCATAAAAGCCTTTTTATGAAATATTTTTCTAAGCGGATTCAATGTGTTTCATCATCATTTGAATACTTGATTCACATAATTATTATAATGACTTAGAGTTAACTAAAGTAATCTAATACTAGTGTATCAATCAATATTTAATTTTAAGTTGAAAGTTCATTGAAATTAAATTCATCCAAGATTGAAGTAACAAAGTTTTGAGTTATGTGCAGGTAACCGGAAACATTGCACTATAGCTTAAAAGTTTGTATGATGATTATTTGAAATATTAGTTGTTAGACGAAGGCGACTTATCTAGATGGGGTGAATAGATCCCCAAATAAAAATTTTGCTTTACAAAAACTGTTTTAAAAAACAATAGCTAGCGGAAGTGACTTGGATCGATTCGTCTAAACCGAACCGCTATCGAAAAGGTCGGATATGCTTATATGAAAACTAATTCAATTAATATGTTTCAATCATAATCACTTTAAAGCTACTCAACAAGCAATGTTATATCAAATGATAGATCACAAAAAAATACTATTGAGGAAAATTATGGAACACCTTGTGTGCAATCGATTTTGTTTGGAAATTTGTATCGTTTTGTTGATCTTAAAATCTAACCACAATCTAAATGATTATGATCAACTCAACAAAATGTTTTTTCAAAATAATTTACCAAACGAATTAATCGCACAAACGATAAACTCAACAATTTGAAAATGAAATATAAAAGAGATAGAAATGGAGATATATAGATAGGTAGAGAGGAAGAGAGAGAGAGAGAGAGAGAGGAGAGAGAGAGAGAGAGAGAGAGAGAGAGAGAGAGAGAGAGAGTACACATGAATTTATTTAGGTAATTCCCCAATCGTCCTCGCTATGAGTATGTCTGCCATTAATTCGAGCTCGAATTAAGATATGAAATTTAACCTTACTTTGCAA